ACCAAGGCCCTAAGTGAGGCAGGGATGAAGATGGAGATGTTGGGCACAAAGGCTTTCAAGGCAACTCTGGATGGGCGCGTATTGTGGGACCTCCGAGGCGGCAAGGACATGCACCGGTCCATGTGGGAGATACCGGTGCTGCCATGGAAGGAGGCGGCTGCGCGCTTGGCTGCTGGAGATGTGAGAGGAGGGCGTGTTAACCACGTGGACAATGGAGGGGGTGGTGATGACAGTGATGGTGGGCTCCTTGGGCATGGAGGGGCTGCGCTTCCAAGTGTAACTCCTAGCACGGGTGAGACGGATTGGCTCACCGCACACCGTCGCTTTGGCCACGTGGCGCTACCTCAGTTGCAGCAGCTGTTTAAGGAGGAAAGAGTCCAGGGGCTGAGGATAAAGGGGGAGCCCAAGGAGGTGGGATCTTGTGAGACTTGCTTGACCAGCAAGTTTTCACGGTTTCCCTTCCATTCGGTGGAGGGGAAGTCGAGTGACCCGGTGGAGCTCGTGCATGTGGATCTCGTGGGACCCATGAAGGTGAAGGGAGATGGTGGGGCCCTGTATTCCATGACCATGGTGGATGACAACACAAGGCTCACCTGGTCCTTTCCACTTGCAAAGAAGAGTGATGCTGCAAGGGTCATCATTGAAGAGTGGCTGCCCATGGTGGAGCGAGAGAGCGGCAAGCGGGTGAAGGCGATTCGTAGCGACCGTGGTGGGGAGTTCTTGGGAGCGGAGTTCCGGAGCTGGCTGAAGCGGCACGGCATCAAGCAGCAGCTCGCCACAGCCTACACCCCTCAATCCAATGGCGTGGCAGAGAGAGCGAACCGGACCATCTTGGAGGGCGGGAGAACGATGTTGGTAGACTCGGGTCTACCCTTATGATTCTGGCCCCTCGCTATTCGCCATGCCACCGTCATCAAGAACCGAGTATTGACTCATGTGGGAGGGCAGCATTGGGTCCCTATGGAGAAGTGGAGAGGCAAGAAGCCCCTGGTGGATATGCTTCGAGTCTTTGGGTGCATGGGACTCGTGCACGTCCCTAAGGAGAAGCGTGACAAGCTTCAAGCGGCGGCGGTGTGGGCTGTTCATTTGGGACTTGCACAAGGGAGCAAGGGGTGGCTCATGTGGGACCCAAAAGTCAACAACACCATCTTCACCACCAGAGATGCCAAGTTCATGGAGGGGCTCATGTTCAAGGAGTGGTTGGAGCGAGGGAGGAGCAAGGTCACCATTCCGCTCGGAATAGAGGTGGGAACGAATGACCCACTCCTCATTCCCATCGAGTTGTCTTCATCTTCAGAGGTAACGGAGGTGTCACATGACTTGGGAGGTGCTGAAGGGGAGGCAACAGAGGTGGAAGGAGTTTTGCAGCAAGAGGAGGCTCCTGTAGCTGAGAGAGGTGATGCCGGGGAGGAGGTGCAGCAGCCAACATCATCCCCTTCACTTCCATCAAGGCGGACAACCCAAGGGAAGCGTGGTGCTGTCCGCGGTGGAGCTAAGGAGGGTGCAGCCAAGGAGAGGCCCAAGAGAGCTGCTCACCCAAGGGATTTCCTCAAGTATGAAAGGCTTGGGGGTCCCAAGGCATTGCTGGTCCAGGAGGAGGAAGATGATGAGAAGGGAGCCGAGGGAGAGATGGAGCAGATTTGTTGCTTCGGTGTCAACTTACCTCATGAACCGGCTTCAATGGAGGAAGCACTTGCTGGAGATGATCGAGAGGCTTGGTTGGCTTCAAGGGAGGATGGGTTTCAGAGCCTCATGGAGAATGGAACATGGACCCTCACTGATCTGCCCCCTGGAAGAAAGGCATTGGATTGCACGTGGATATTACGTGTGAAGACCGATGCGGAGGGGAAGTTGGAGAGGCGCAAAACAAGACTTGTGATCAAGGGTTTCCAGCAGAGGGAGGGGGTTGACTTTAAGGAGGTGTTTGCTCCTGTTGCCAAGGCTCCTACGCTTCGGGTGTTGCTGGCAGCAGCTGCCGTTTGTGGTTGGAAGGTGGAGCAAATGGATGTGAAGACGGCTTTCCTCTATGGCGTGGTAGATGAGGAGATCTACATGAAGCAGCCAGAGGGGTATGACGATGGGAGCGGACGTGTTTGCAGGCTCAACAAGGCCCTCTATGGCCTCAAACAAGCTCCAAGGTGCTGGTATGCAAGGCTGGTGGAGGCTTTGGAGGCTCTTGGTTTCAAAGTCAGCGGGTGCGACGAGAGTCTCTTCATGACCGAGGGGAAGGAGGAGAAGGTGTTTCTTCTTGTCTACGTCGATGACATTCTCCTCTTCTCTCCATCACTAGAGAGGATCAAGGAGGTGCAAGGGAAGCTGAAGGAGACCTTTAAATGCAAGGCCCTTGGACCAGTGGGGTATTACCTTGGTCTTCATGTGGAGTGGGACGAGGTGAAGGGATGGTTGAGGCTTCACCAACACAAGTACCTTGCAGCCATGGGGGAGAGGTATGGGCTGGAGGAAGGGAGGAGTGTGAAGACTCCTCTACCCTCAGGGTTTCAGCTACACCTTGATGAAGAGGAGGGTGAGGTGTTGGAGCCCGAGTTGCAGCGTCGGTTCCAGTCAATGGTGGGGAGCTTGATGTATGCTTCGGTCAACACTCGCCCCGATATTTCATTTGCGGTTTCGCAGCTGGCTCGTGTGGTGTCTAGGCCCCTTCAAGAGCACCTTGATGCAGCAGAGAGGCTGGTGAGGTACTGCATGGCAACCTCAAGGGTGGGGCTGCAATATTCAGTGCATGGGCAGCTGAAGCAAAAGGGAGTGGAGGAGGTGAGCACAAAGACCGGTGCACCTGCAAGGCGTGGACACTTGTACCTCTCGTGCTTCACCGACGCTACATGGGCAAGTGACATCAGTGATGCAACATCTCATGGTGGCTATGTATGCTGTGTTGGAGGGAGTCCAGTGAGCTGGAAGTCTAAGAAGCAAGGGGAGATAGCTCACTCATCAACAGAGAGCGAGTACATGGCGTTGTTTCATGGGGTGAAGGAGGTGGTTTGGATGAGGAGGTTGCTTGAGGAGTTGGGGCAGGAGCAACAGGGTCCTACACCTGTGTTTTGTGACAGCCAAGGAGCAATAGCAATGGCTCGCAATGCTGTGCTCCATGGGCTGAACAAGCACATGCATATCAAATGGCATTGGGTGAGGAAGGAGGTGAAGAAGAGCACAGTCTCCTTGCACTACATCAACACTACCAAGCAACCTGCAGATTTCTTGACCAAGCGGCTTGCAGAGCATCAGCATTGGACCTGTGCCACCTTGTGTGGCATTTCCTTCAACTAAGGGAGGCAGCTTCAGGGAGCAGCTAAGGGATGAATGAGAGCACGATGAGGGGGAGTTTGTTGTGCCAACACATTACAGTGGCACGGTCATCGCACTCCCATTCGGCCTACAAGCTTGCTCAGCTTCTGGAATTTTGTGGGGAGGTTGTTCAACATGTGTTCTTCAAAACCTCAAAGTTTCAGAGGTTTTGAAGCAGTTACCAAGGCATGACAACATTTTATGTTTCAAGACTTATGGCATCCCGGAAGTGTGTGTTACTCCTTTTTGGTAACACCCGAGTTCACCATTTCGGCTGCTGACTCGTCTACCGAGATCTGATTGGTCTGAAATTCGGTCTGGCAGTCTTTTGCCACGCTGTGCAGGTGGTCACCAAGTTTCAGAACGATCCAACATCTGAGAATTGCGTGACATCTGCCGAAATTCACTGTTCCGTGGTTATGGTGCACTGTTGGCAGCATTTCCCTTGCCACCCTTTCATTGTTGTCATGCCAATGGTGCAGGGACAGAGAACGAGACAAGAAGTACAGTTGGTCAAGTGGGACTCTACAACCCTCCTTTTGAGAAGTGTGGTCTTCCTGGAAGCAGCTTGCAAGAGGGTGCAAGTGGGAAGACAAGCTGACTCATGTTGGCTTGACTCACTATTGGTAGCCTTGAGTACAGCTCTGAACATCCAAGTGTGGTTGGCTTTGCTGACCTAGCTAGGAGGTTTCCCATTCTTCTCTAGCCTTTCTCCCCTAGGACTCAACCTTCTCTGAGTTCCCAGGATGACCCAACTCCTTATGAGCCCCCTAGGCAATGTTGTACTCACCTCTTCCTTGCATCAATGAAACTACACGTTTTTCCGCCGAGCTTATGTTCTCGTTCACTGCGTAGTGCACACACCTCTGATAATAGCAAATAATATACCGTTGGAAAGCAGACACCTAAGGCTAACCGCTGTCCAAGTTTCAGCCTTGTATAAGTTTGGAGCTGATCGTGATGGCGTTTTGAACAGAGGCGGTTTGAAGACGTCAGATTCTGCTTAGGGGGTTTCATGGGCATCCTTTGAAGAAGTGGACTGCAGACCATAACACTCAGTCACATCCCTTCATTGTATGAACTAACTAACAATAGATATGTAATAGTTCATGCACCTTCTAAGTGGTGCAATAGATTCACTATAGTCACAACAACCACACGCCCACAGTCACAACAACCGCGTGCCCACGGTCACAGCCAGCCACAAGTCATAACCAATCACCCTCACCCTCATAACAAAGCTCGTCGAGCAAACGGGCGGCCCCTGCAACATTGAGGCTCCTGCTGCTAGTGTTCTACGCGATCCATGACTTGATTGCCATGACGGCGCGAACACGGCCAGCGGTGAGGCGGTGGCGCTGCCATGTAATAACGTTCCACCCTTGAGCAGCAGAAGTGGCGGGCACAGCCAAATAGTCTCGAGCCATCTCCCTCAAAGCGTCGAAATCCTCCATCGCCCGCTAGAATGCCAACGGGTAACCACCTTTCTGCCTGGGCTCAGCTAAATAGCAGTCCACCTCATACTGAGCCCCACCTCCAGAGCTTTCATATCGTCAAAGATGGAGTGCGCAAAGCCCCCTCCCCCACCTCCAGCAGCACCCGTCGCGCCCAAGGTCCCACCAGTAATGCCGCTGGGCCCAATGCCCCCCCGCCAACTTGCTTGTGACCTCTCCACCCTGCCGGCGGCTGCTCACTCGCGCCTAGTACTTGGCCAAACGCACATGCACCAGCCATATCACCGTTTCCTCATCTACATCTTGCACCCTCCTAGCACACCCCCCCACCTTTGTGACGTGCGCAGCATTGCGCGCCTCCCATTTCGGCAGCTGGAAGAAGACGATCTTGTAGTGGGGGTCCAGGAAGGTGGCAATCACCAACTCTTCCTTCTCCCCGTACTTGAACTTCTTCAGCTTGGCGAGGGTTGCAGAGTCGAGAGCCTGTCGGAGGGGAGTGACACCCTCCTTGCGAGAGGAGATCTCTAGCTTGTCGAGCAACTGGTTGTACAACGGCACGACTGAAGCAGCCGTGGGGTACAAGGAACCCTCGGCTGCCTTTGTGATGGTGTTGAATGGCTCGAGGAACTCCTTGAGCTCGACGAGAGCCTCCCAATGCACGTCGGTCAGCCGAAGGCCATCCAGCTGTTCGCGTAGCTAGGGGGGGAAGGGGGGGGCTGGTGGATGGAAGAAGAGTACAGTATAGCATGAATGTTCTAGGGTGGGTTTAAAAAATCACAACACAATACATTATCCAACATTCCAGCCCCTAAGCAGAACCCTTGACCACAGTCACAACAGACACACCACCACCAACCCAGCCCCCGAACACCACCACCACCAATAAGCACGTCCATCCTCATGAGGAACAGTGCCAGAGCCTGCTGCAGCTCCAACACTCGGGCAATCATGTCATACGTGGACCCCCACCGCGTCGGCAAATCACTGATCAGACGAAGCACGGGTGCATCATCCCGCCGCAACAATATGTGCTGCTGCTGGGCAAAGTGCTCCAAACGCTGAACCGACCACCCGACTAACTAACACACTGCTCGAAGACGCTTCAGCGCCTCGCCACCTCATCCACCTTCAATCCCGCCTGCACTGCAATGTCATGACATGTGCAGTGCAGTTGTGCAAGCATGGCACAAACGCATAAGGGAGAGGATGTTGAAATGAATATGGTTGTAGGCGTAGGGTGGCCCATGGTACGGCAGCAATGCAGGGACAAGTCAGAGACACCAGAGTTACGTATCGATTAACTTACCGTACGTGGCGATCTCCGTCGAACAGCGGAGACGCCATCTTCGACTCAGCGCCCTCCGCTGGGTCCCCTGCAAGCATGCGCATGGCCTTGTTGTTGTTCTCTGCATTATCCGTAGTGGCAGCGAACAACGTCTCAGTCAGTCCCCACTCTGCCAGAATGCCTTCAAGGGTCTTCGCTATCAGCAAAGCGGTGTGCGAGCCCTCCAACTGCATTAAATCCAGGATGTGTTGCCATAGGTGGAAGTCACTAGTGATCCTTGTCAGAACATATCTATAGCTTATACTGCTGTGTAGGCTGTAGTGGGGTATCCCATAGGGGGTACAACCCAGTTAGGGTTTCATATTTGTACTGCTTTCATTCATAGTTCATCTCATTCCTGTTTTCCTATTATCACATGGTATAGAGCGGGTCCTACCTTAGGACCGTTGTCTGGGCCCACCGACGCGCGCCCCGAGGCGCGCCCTTTTTTTTTAGCGACCCCTCGGGTCGCCTTTTCACTCGCGGCCCCGCCGCCTCCTCTGACGCGGCTTTGCCGCCTCCCCTGACGCGGCCCAGCCGCCTCCCTTGACGCGGCCCCGCCGCCTCTTTTAACGCGGCCCCGCCGCCTCCCTTGACGCGGCCCCGCCGCCTCCCTTGACGCGGCCTCGCCGCCTCCCCTGACGCGGCCCCGCCGCCTCCCCTGACGCGGCCCTGCCGCCTCCCTTGACGCGGCCCCGCCGCCTCCCTTGACGCGGCCCCGCCGTCTCCCCTGACGCGGCTTCGCCGCCTCCCCTGACGCGGCCCCGCCGCCTCCATTCACGCGGCCCCGCCGCCTCCCCTGACGCGGCCACGCCGCCTCCTCTGACGCGGCCCCGCCTCTACTGCCGACGGCCCCGCCGCTGCACTCTACCGGCCCGTCGCTGCTCCTGCCGGCCCGCCGCTGCACCCTGCCGGCCCGCCGCTGCTCCTGCCGGCCCGCCGCTGCACCCTGCCGGCCCGTCGCTGCTCCTGCCGGCCCGCCGCTGCACCCTGCCGGCCCGCCGCTGCTCCTGCCGGCCCGCCGCTGCACCTACCGGCCCGCCGCTGCACCCATCGGCCCGCCGCCTCTTACGGCCCGCCACTTGCACCTGCCGGCCCGCCGCTGCACCTACCGGCCCGACGCTGCACCTGCCGGCCCGACGCTGCATCTCCCGCCCGAGCCGCCCCAGCAGCCGAGCCGCCCGGGACCCGAGCCGCCCTGCCGCCGAGCCGCCCGGGAGCCGAGCCGCCCTGCACCCGAGCCGCCCAGCAGCCGAGCCGCCCTGCACCCGAGCTGCCCAGCCGCCGAGCCGCCCGGGAGCCGAGCCGCCCTGCGCCCGAGCCGCCCAGCCGCCGAGCCGCCCGGGAGCCGAGCAGCTGTGCACCCGAGCCGCCCGGTCGCTGAGCCGCCCTTCTGCTGACTGCACGACCTGCCCTGCCTGGTGAGCACTGTCCCACTGACACTGCGAGCTCTTTCCCTACTGCTTGCACTGCGTCGCTGTCGTCACCATGGCTACCCCTAGTGTCCTAGCTTTTGACGCTGAGGGTCGCGCCATTGATTTTGAGGTCTGGTTAGACGACCTGCAGCTGTTCTTACAGTGCGACAGGGCTGACGACCTTTCTCTCTTTGACCTCACCTCTGGCGCCTCTCCTGCCCCTGCTGCTGATGCTGATCCCGCTGTCCGCTCTAAGTGGGCCACCCGCGATGCTGCTGCACGTCTTGCTGTGCGTCGCCACCTCCCTACCTCTGAGCGTGCGCACTTTAGTCAGTACAAGAGTGCTCAGACCTTGTACGACGCTGTAGTTGCGCGCTACTCCTCCCCTGCCACTGCTGCACTGAGCCGTCTCATGCTTCCCTACCTCTTTCCTGACCTCTCTGCCTTTCCCACTGTCGCTGACCTCATTACGCACCTCCGCACTAGTGACACTCGCTACCGCGCCGCCCTTCCTGCTGAGTTCTGCGCTAAGAACCCCCCCCCCATGTACATCGCTCTCTACTACGTAGTCGCACGCCTCCCTGACTCCCTTCGCGTCGTCAGGGACCACTTTCTCGCAGTCTGTCCCACCACTCTCACCGTCGACCTCCTCGAGAAGGCCCTCCTTGCAGCGGAGAAGAGCATAGTCGCTGTAGGTGCTTCTCGTGGTGACCCTCGCACCCCCATCTTTGAGGGGTGCTCTCCTTCCCCCTTGCTGCCCTCTGTTGCCTCTGCTGCTGCTGCCGACCTGCTTGGTCTTGAGTCGGTCGGCGCGGCGTCTGCCCCTAGTGGGAGACGTCGCTCCAGCAAGGGCAAGGGGGGCAAGGGCGCGGGTGGAGCTGGAGGGGGCGGTGGCGGTGGCGGCGGTGGCGGCGGAGGGAGTGGGGGTGGCGGCGGGGCTAGTGGCGGGGGTGGTGGTGGTGGTGGCGGCAGCGGCGGCGGAGACGGTGGTGGTGGTGCCAGCGGTGGTGGTGGAGGCAGCGGCGGAGGTGGAGGCGGCGGAGGTGGAGGCAGTGGAGGCGGCAGCGGAGGAGGCAGTAGTGGTGGAGGAGGTGGAGCTGGTCGGGGTGGTACCCAGCAGCGTAGCGGCGGTGGTGGTGGCCAGCGCTCGCACCGGCAGCAGCAGCAGCGCTCGCGGGACATCCCTTCGCCTCAGCAGCTTCGTGAGTGGTACGCTGGGCGTCAGAGGGGTGGGGGTACTGGTCCCTGCACCTACGTTCTTCGTTCCGGCGACCGCGCGGGCGAGCAGTGTGGGGGTGCCCACGCCACCCAGCGCTGCTTTGGCCGCCTGACGGACGCTTGGCGTCAGCAGTTCCCTGGGGCTAGTGAGATCCCTCGCTGGGATGAGCTTCTCAGGGCTGGTGTAGCGATCTTTGATCTTGATTTTGATGCTATCCTTACTGCTATGTATGTTGTGGATTATAGTGAGGAGAATGAGGGTTACCGGTGTTTTCAGCCCGACCCGGGCATTGGTACTGCTGCGCTAGGTGCTTGTGAGGCTGCTGCTCTAGGTGCCAGTGCGTCTGCGCTCTCAGGTACTGGTGAGACTGCGCTCTCAGGTACTGAGTCGTCCTCGTCCTCCCTCACTTTCACACTTGACTCCGGAGCTTCTCGCTCCTTCTTTCGAGACCGCACTACCCTTTCGCCGCTCGCCAGGCCGGTTGCGGTCTCCCTTGCTGACCCCTCTGGGGGTCCTGTCCTGTCTCACTTCTCCACTGTCCTCCCGTGTCCGGCTGCCCCTTCGGGCACCCTGTCGGGTCTGTACCTTCCCTCGTTCTCTACGAACTTGGTGAGTGGAGCGGACCTGCAGGATGGGGGTGTTCACCAGTTCACTCCTGCGCGTCAGAGGGTGACCCACTGCACGGAGGCTCGCACAGGCCGACATCTGGCCACGTTCTCACGTCGGCCGGGGTTGAGTCTCTACACCCTGACCGTTGAGTCTCCTCCTGTCCCTGCGTCTGGTCAGGTGGCTGCGTCGGGTCAGGTACTTGCTGCTGCGTCCCGGTCAGGTCCTGAGTCTGCCCCCTGTTCTTGTCGCCTCCTGTCTCACGAGACTCTCCTGTGGCACCACCGTCTTGGCCACCCCTCCTTGCCCCGTCTTCGGAGCATGGCTTCCCGTGTCCTTGTCTCTGGTCTTCCCCAGTCTCTCCCTCCTCTCCCCTCCGGGCCAGGACCTTCCTGTGTCCCCTGTGTCGAGGGTCGCCTCCGGGCTACTCCTCACTCCTCCCACTTCCCCCCGACAGAGGCTCCCCTGCAGACGCTTCACATGGATGTGTGGGGCCCAGCCCCCGTCCGTGGGCAGGGTTACGAGCGCTACTTCCTGTTGGTGGTTGACGACTACTCGCGTTACACCACAGTCCTCCCCTTGCGCAGCAAGGGTGCGGTCACTGAGGTGCTGATCGACTGGATCCGCGAGGCTCGTCTCCAGCTCAGGAAGAGCTTCGGCTCGGACTTTCCTGTTCTGCGTCTGCACTCTGACAGAGGCGGAGAGTTCTCTTCTCGCCTTCTGCGAGACTACTGTCGTGCACGGGGGATCCGCCAGACCTTCACGCTTCCGGACTCACCACAGCAAAATGGGATTGCTGAGCGCCGCATTGGCATGGTCATGGATGTCGCTCGTACGTCCATGATGCATGCGGCTGCCCCCCATTTTCTGTGGCCGTTTGCGGTGAGGTACGCGGCGCATCAGCTCAACCTTCACCCCCGGGTCTCTCGGCCAGCGATGTCCCCAGCCTTGCTGTGGACGGGGAAGGTTGGTGATGCGTCTGTGTTCCGTGTCTGGGGATCTCGGGCGTTTGTCCGCGACTTGTCTGCGGACAAGCTGTCCCCTCGTGCTGCTCCCTGTGTCTTCCTTGGCTTCCCCACTGACGCCCCAGGGTGGCAGTTTTACCACCCCTCCTCTCGTCGTGTTCTGTCCTCCCAGGACGTCACGTTCGACGAGTCAGTCCCCTTCTACCGTCTCTTCCCCTACCGCACTCCTTCCCTCCCCCCTCCCCCGGACTTCCTTGTGCCGGTTCCCCCCCCGGTAGACCCCCTCCCCCCTCAGGTTCCTGCCCCCTCAGGTGTGTCCCAGGTAGACGCCGTTGACCCGGTCGAGGTTACTGGTGACTCTGGTGCTGCTGCGGGTGCTGAGCCTGGGGGTGCTGACTCTGGGGGTGCTGTGCGCGGGGGTGCTGAGCCTGGGGGTGCTACTGCTGGGGGTGCTGGGCCTGAGGGTGCTACTGCGGAGGGTGCGGAGCCTGGGGGTGCTGAGCCGGGGGGTGCTGTGCCTGGAGGTGCTGGGTCTGGGGGTGCAGGGTCGGGAGCTGCTGAGCCTGGGGGTGCTGAGCTGGGAGCTGCTGAGCCTGGGGGTGCTGCGTCTGGAGCTGCTGAGCCTGGGGTTTCTCCTGCTGCTGCGTCTCGCCGGGAGCCCCTCTCTCCACAGGAGCTGCGCGAGTGGTTCGCTCGCCGCTGGAGGCGTGCTGCTGAGTCTGGAGGTGCTGCTGGAGCTGGAGCTGGAGCTTCTTCGACCGTCGAGGGTGCGGGTGCAGCCGGTCCCGGAGCTGCTGGCCCTGCAGGTCCTCCTGGAGCTGGAGCTGCTGAGGGCGTTCGTGCTGAGCCTGCTGCTGTTGGTCCTGCCGCTGGAGGTGTGGGTGGCGCTGGTGCTGTCGCTGAGGGTACTGGTGCTGTCCCTGCTGAGTCTGGAGCTGCCGCGCGGCCTCGGCCGTACTTCGTTCCGCTCCTTCAGCAGGTTCTTGGTC